ATATATATATTTACGGATGTTATACAAACACACAAATTATATTATACTAATATTCACAAATACACTTGGGTCTTTTTCTGATATTGTAAATAAATGACCAGACCTCTGATTTGGCTCTACTTCAGGTATTCCTGGCTACACAGTAGTGATGGCCTCATGAAGCCCCGTGAAACCTTGAAGCTTTTATTCCAATTGGTTCAAAAAAAAAAAAGGTTCATTTCTTGAAGCTTCATGTACTCACAACTCCCTCTGCTGGTCAAAACTTTTGTCATTTCATCTAATTGGCTGTCTTGAATAAAATGAAAGTTCTTTGGTTTATTTTGTGGTTTATTCTTGTTATATTGGATAAATTGGTGTTTTTAAAATAGTAATAAAAGTTATTTTTTCCTTTTGTGTATTTTAAATAAACACTTCTCATTTTTTAAAATCAGTGGGGGTGCATGTTATTTAATCAGGCAGATCCCACTAAGCTTGCAAGAGAGGCTTGGATCTGAAGGCAACATGGTTTTGGTCTGTGGGAGAAAATCCAAACATGCAAACTTCACACAGAAAGACCCGGGTCAGAAACGGGGCTAGAACCCAAGACCTTCTTGCTGGGAGGTATCAGTGCTAACCACTGAGCTATTGTGCTGCCAGTGCTTACAAACACTAGGGTCATGGTGAGTTCCATGACATTGAAGACAAGTATTTTGTTTCTTCTGTGTTTGGACTCAGTTTCTCTTAAAAACGGTTGTCCACATGTCTGTTGTCAAACTCACAACAGGAAAATGCTGTTTTTTTAATTATTCATTGGAACATATAAATAGAAAAAACACAAAAACAACAACAGTAATATACAACTTATATCTGTAGAGCTCTTTATTGTTGTGGTTCTAACCCCAAAATTTCCAATAAATAAATTGAGCTATAGCAGAAAAGTTAGACCTTTAAAATGGCACTCTGCAAAACAGTAATAAGACATTTCATTACCTAATTGTTAAAAACTGAACATAATTCTATGAAAACCCTTATTGGGAGAAATCAGTGTGATCACTCAGGTGAAATGCTGCTTCTTTTAGCAGGCATCTGTCAGAGAGCAGTGAAACTCCAACACAAACACACACAGGTTCTGTAGTGATCCATTTAGTTCATGGAACAAGCCAAAACCCGAATCCTTTCCTGAACCAGCGAGGCTTCAGACATCACCGGTGACGTCACTCACCCTTAACAACACAAGCTTCGGCACGCGCTTCATTAAAGACTTCTGGGTTTTCTCGACACGCTCCGAAGCTTCGGCACAGGAAGACCCATCACTACTATGAAGCGTCAAAATCACTATCATGATCAAACAGATGCTGCTCAACCAACAATCTCCCCTCCCAAAACAGAAACACAAAACTAAAAAGTGGGAAATCAATATCAGATGTTAATATCGGCCCAGTTTTACATATCAGACCGATACTGATATTAATGCCGATATATTGTGCATCCCTAATATGTATGTAATAATGCTTCATCAGTAGCAGTTTTCTTAGCAGTAATTTAAAGTCTCAAACTGTCAATGGCTTTTTACAGCGTATCTATGTGGTAATTGTGTTTGGTTTAAAATATCTCCATAAAAGAAAATRAATATTCACACTAAGTCTAAATTAGTTGTTTGCTGATGTACTGTGTTTTATTCACACATCCTGTGGAGGCTTTAGTTCAAGTATCACAAACCAACATGATTAATGTCTGTTGTTTTTCATGGTACAGTAAATWCACACATACAGTTGCACAGAACTTTGTCAAATTATATCTGCCATCACCATTGCCCTTTTTGGTATGATTATATATATAATTATGTATTATATTATTAGCCAGCTCCAATGTCGAACAAAGCTTTAGTMTTCAGTTTTTAATGTAGATGTAAAGGCTGCAGCCCAGCTAATGTGAAGAGCACAATTTCCTCTTCATATTAAGCCTTTATCTTTACCCTCTGCTCAACTTCAAAGGTTATTTTTTCAGTCCACTTGTTTCTGAGCTATACCTTTATTTAGAATATGTAAGAAATTTCAACAGCATAACTGTTTTGTGTGTCTGTGTGCTCCTTATCAGAACATTATGAAGTACCTTCAGTCAGAAGCCAGAGAGAAAAACCAGGCAGCTTTCCAGAAAGGCTGGAAGATCGCCATCATCAAGGTGAGTCTCACCCCTGACTATATTTATCATTATTTATCTTTCTGTYTTCACGTTGTCCTCTAACATGTTTTCATTGACTGGCACAGTTCCAGTTTGGATTTTCTTTCTGGGCTTAGCAGAATTTTTACATAACATATGAGAATTAATGATGATCTTTTTTTAAGGAAATTGTACTGTATTTCTTAGTTATAACAGCATGAAAACAGACCTGAGGTGTTGTTCAGAAGCTATAATTTATTCTCCTGTTTAACCGTGATTTGATGTCTTCTCAGGGTATTCCACAGCAGAAAAATGACAGCGACTGTGGAGTTTTTGTTCTTGAGGTGAGATACTAGTTTCTGTTTTTGTTTTCTGTGCCTTTCCCTTATTTGTTTTGTTTTTCTGAAGACAGAGGAACTACATAAATCATTGATTGTAGTAGCCTAACCTCTTCTGTTGTACAGACTTTTTTTAACATAGGCTACAGATGAAGCTTCTGCTGGTGGCGTGCTTTAAAGAGGACATATCATGTAAAAACCCTTTTTTAGCTATTAAATGCATTTGTTGTGCACTTGGAGGCTCTAGGAGGGCAGAAAATTTGAATTTAGTCTCTCACGGTGGAGCACCTCATTTGGATTTAAAGAGACAGCGTCAAAACGAGTGCATCTGAGACACTCCTCAGAAAAGAGGTGAAAGAGGGGCTTGTGGAGTTACAATAAGGAGGAATTCAGACCAACGCATTGCAGTTCCACTTTATACAGACCCCATYTGAATGATTTAAATGTGAAAAAGAAGGATTTAAAAGCAGTATATGTCTCCTTTAATGCAGGCGTTGTGTTTTTTTTTTTTCTTTGTCAGTACTGCCGCTGTCTGTCGGTGAAGCAGCCTCTGCGGTTCAGCCAGGATGACATGCCTCGCATTCGAAAGAGGATCTACAAGGAGCTCTGCGACTGTCGTCTGAACGACTAACGGTTGCCTTCACCCACCGGTCTGGTCACACGAGAAGGTCTGCCCAAGTCATTCACGTTTTTTTTTTTCGACTGACAGCTGGTTGTATAAGCTAACAGAGCTWGGCCATCTGTATTTCAGGGAGCACTAACTGCCATCTGCTTCTGACTGGCAGAGTGGTAATCACTAGAGACTTTATTTTGGTGACTTCAAGTGACAGTCTGTAGCTGAATATTTCTTGCAAACTTGCAAAGAACTACTGAAGTGGCCCCCCTACTGACCATTAAAAATGTTGGACTGTCAGATCGTTTGAGGTCCACTTTAAAGACTTTGCACYTGCACACTTCAGGTTCCTTCTGCTTTTTTGCATTTATCGCCTGTATTCATGTTTTATATGAAAGGCTGAACAACAACAGAGCTCTGACTTTGACTGAAGAAACTGTTACACCAACCTAGATAGCCCTTACATCCCGTAATGGAGTGGCCTTACCCTTTAAACGGCCATTTTAACTTGAATTTAACTGTTTTATTTTTTTGTGCTGGACTTCCCAGCTGTAGTAAACTTCCAGTTTATACGCAGGTATTATAACATGTTTGACAGGTTTCTTGGATTCAGTGGAACAGATGTACAGTTAAAACTTGAAGGTTCGAGTCGACTGTTTTCTTGGACTTCAGAAATTTGCACGGTTACAGGCCTCTCCACTGAAGTTCAGAGTATAAACTGAATGTTTCTGTCTCTGTTTGATTYTCCCCGATGCACAGGCTTCAAAGCTGGGATCACATGTTTCTTTAAGGCGCCTTGTTTTTGACATCGAAGTTAGATCCATTTCCTAATAATATTCTGTATTTTCCGTCCATACTTAGTTTTTTTTTTCTTTTGCTACGCCCACTAATTTATATTTTGAACAAACATTTTCCAGCCCTTTAACTAAAGCCCATTAAAATAACTTTCACACTTAACTTGTCATTTTTTAAGCCTGATTTGTAAATATTTTAAAGGAATCCTCGATCACTTGTAACATTAGAGAATATTTGATAAACTTTTACTTCAACTGTAAAACAAAAACTGTAAAAATACTGTAGGCTGTTTAGTTTTTATAGGTTTAAAAAAATATTGTCACATGGACAGCACCTTTGTATTTACGCTGCAAAGCATACCGGGTAAACTRTGGCGTTCACTAGGTTTTCTGGTGCAAAGATGCAAGCTCTGTYCACCCTGAAGGTTAATCCTGGACGATATCTGACGTTCAGCYCTTTTAAATAAAACCAGAGCACCTTGGCAGAGAGGAGAAGGTCCAAATCACTGCAGCTGAAAATGCAGAAGGACAACGGAGCTGCTTCATGGAAGAAGAACCACAGCTCAGCCTGTTAGCTTTCGCATTAGATTAGCGCCCAAGCTAACAGGCTAAGCTGAGGTTCTCTACCATGAAGCAGCTCTGTTGTCCTCCATCCACATCTTCAGTTACAGGCTGAGTCATTTCTACCTTCTCCTCTCTGTCAACGCTCTCTGGTTTCATTAAAAAAGGCTGATTGTTCAAGACTAACCTTCAGGGTGGATAGAGTTCACTATGTTTGCACAGACTCACACTGGAACACCTAGTGAACATCATCTTTTACCCAGTATGCTTTGCTGCGTTAATAAAATGACGCTGTCCATGTGACAATAAATTTTTTAAAATGTATAAAAACTAAACAGCCTACATTATTTTTACAGTCTTTGTTTTACAGTTGAAGTCAWTGTTTATCAGATAAYGTCTAATGTTACAASTAATMGTGAATTCCCTTTTAAGCTTTGTGTTTGGCTGCCGATATAAAAAAAATTATTATTTTTTATTTTGTTCCAGAGGATCCTCAGACTGTATTTGTTGTTTTATATGGATACTTTAGCACAGGAGTAGAACGTTGTTTCTGTTCTGCAGAAAAAAAAGCATTGGACCTCAGCTTTTTCATTAAAACATTCTGTTCAACCTGCATTTGTGTCCAATTTATTATATGAATTTACAAATTGTACTGTAAGTTTATTAGCTTTTTGTCCTTTAGCTTCTTTTTTTCTTTTGTTTGTTTGTTTTGTTTTTATAGTTAAGTTGCCAGTACTGACTGTTAAACTTAACCARGGTCTACAAATGTGCTTGAACTGTGCAGAAACCCCTTTTATTTTTCATGAAAAGACAGAAAAAATAACATTTTAAGAGCATTATACTTTTCATGTCATTATTACCACACAGGCTAAAAAATATGAATTCACTTTGCAAATTTGCAAGTGCAAGTGTATGCTAATTATATGCATTGTATAAGGATTCAAGTTACTGTAGAAATTGTTTTATCAGACTTCTGATAGAAAAACACAGACTTTTCCAGATGAAGCAYTGAAGTTTTCCTTTTAATTCTGTTTCCATTAACTTAGCTTCAGAGCTGACAGTGAGATGTCTGAAACTAATCTTGGAACAGAGCTTCTTGTCTGTAGCTGAGCAGAAAAACAARTAGAAATGAGTTTTGTAAGGAGTTCAAGGTGAAATCTTAATGGAGAGATTTTGAAAAGCTACATTTTTTTTCTCCTGCTGTCAAGCTGCACAASAACCTAAAAGGCTTAATGAAGGTTGAACAAAGAAAGTGGCTATTTAGACTTTAACTTAAAAATATATGAGATGCCGAAAATAATACGAGTCACAAATCTTGTGCAAAATGAAAGGATTAGAAATCTCATTTGCAGATGTCAGCTGAGCTGTCTCACATTCAGTAGTTTGAGTCTTTTCACTTTAAACGGAGCAATCTGCTGTATATGAGGAGAAAAGCTCATCTGAAGACCATCTGGACCTACAGTATAATGTGAACATGCCTCCATTTTACTTTTCTCATAAATCAAATCCGACTTTTCGCAGGCAGCTTAAGTGCTGCTGAAGGCTGCTTCTTCCCACTCGTGGGGAAACTATGTCTAATAGGATGAGATCTGAGGCTGGAAGACAGGCTGSATCAGTCCGCTCACATCTCGTTGTTGGGTTTCCCTCATTTTTCTCCATTTGCCTCTGATGAACATATAAACYTAAGCTTGTCTTTATGAAACTTTATTTTTTGTTTTTATAAGTCTTTACACCTAATTTGTTGTTTCACTAAAACTGATTCTGCTGCATCAAAACAAGTGTCATTTTAACACCTATAGAGTTGAATTTAACTCTGTTTCGTATAATATTTGGYCCCACTCAAAATTAGTGTAAAATATAGCCAGTGTCAACTTCTCAGAGTTAATTTGACTCATTTTAGTGTCAAAATCAACAATGAATCTAGTAAAATTATTTAACACTATAGTTTTACACTACAGAGTAATATTGTTATTTTTCTGGAGTGAATTCTACATTAAATTTGATGCTTTGGTGCTGAAATTAACAATGAAAGGTTTAACACTGCAAGTTTAACACTCCAGTTTTTACTGTTTATCAGTATGTTCAGTTTAACTAGATTTAATAGTTTTAGATTGTTTTCCCTGTTAGTGGGATGCTTTTTATATTTTAAGAGCTTTACATCACATCATGGAAACAAAACAGTCGGCTACATTAAAGCAAACTGTTAAACATTTAAAAGTAATTTGGATCATTTTTATCCCATTACTATGGAAGAAGATTAGAGCCACTGAAACAATAATAAATCTCAAAATTCTAAGATTAAAGTCCAAATTCTTTTTTTTTTTYCCAGTGGCCCTAATCCTCTTCCGTACATTATTTATTAGAGCTAAGAAGAAAATAAATATGTCTTAAAAATAAAATAAAAATCAGGTCTGACCAAACATTTGATTATCTGCCTGAGAGAAGAAGACTTCAGGAAGATTCAGTTACAAATGAAAAGGCTGTCAAGCTTTTAGTTCTAACTCAAATTTGTGCCTAATTTTAATATTATTTTCATTGTAATAAAATGTTTATCTAATCCCATGTTTTTAGTTCTGTAATAGCAGTTGTCATTGAAATTAAAACAAAGACATTTTATTGTAAAGATGAGACGATGTGGAGGTCACTGCAGCTCTGTGGGACATCTCAACCAGGTGTTCATGTTCTGTCTAAAACCATCCTGAAGGCAGAGAAACTCACTTAACCCAACCTGAGCTATTTTGATTAGCATTTTATGAGTTTTATAAACATTTCTACAGCAAGGAGAGTGACAAACTGAACAAATGGGAGGGGAAAATTGATATTTGGGGGTGCGATTAAAAAAAAGGAAGGTCAGAATATGAGAATAAAGCTCCAAACAAGAACAGGAAGAGGAAACTGGGTCTTAAAAGAACAAAAATCTGGATCCAGAATGAAGTGACAGAGTTGGATTAAAGGATCAAAGACAGAAATAGAGCAGAGGAAGATCTGAGGAGGTCAGCGCTGGAGAAAGAGTCGGGCATTAGCATTTATCACCCCCAAAAGCTGAATATGGCTGAGAGACTTTGCAAATAAAACATAAATAGTGAAGCTGTTCTTGCACTTCAAATGACAAATGGTGCTAAGGACTTTTATGGGAATTTTCTCTGTTAGCCTTTACAGTGTATTTATCAAATCAATGAGAAAAAACGTTTATTCCTATAATAATTATTCCGGTGCATCATTTGGGTTCTTAAATTTTATATTCACAATTTATCTTTTCTGTAAACCATTACTAATTTCAATTTAAAAAATGCAGGTCCTTTTCAACCTCAGTTTTCTTTTGAACAGAGGTGTATAAAGT